AGTAACCTCTAGACACTAATCAAATTTTCTGCAATGATGGAAATGTTCTCATCTGAGCTCTCCAATACAGTAGCCACTAGCCATATGCGACCACTGGGACCCTGAAATATGCCATGCGAGTTAAGAAATGACGGCCCTGGCTGGTGTGGCTCAGTGGACTGAGTGCTGGCCTATGAACCAAAGGGTTCCCGGTTCAATTTCCAGTCAGAGCACAGGCCTGAGTTGTGGGCCAGGTTCTCAGTTGGGGGGCATGTGAGAGGCAACCACACATGGATGTTTCTCTCCCTCTCTTTCTCGATCCCTTCCCCTCTCTCTATAAATAATAAACAAATAAATAAATATTTAAAATTTTTTATTTTTTTAACTTTAATTTTCATTAATTTAAACAAATAGTTACATACAGCTGGTAGCTACAGTTTGGAGAATGAAGCTCTACAAAGGCCTCCGGCACTTGATGCAACCTCTGCAGGGCGTGTGGGGAAAGCGTGGGTGTTAGACTAGGACAGACCTGGGTCTAAACTTAGTTCCAGCACTTACTGCTGTGCAGCCTTGCACAAATTACTTAACTCCCTGAATTTCATTTTCCTTATATGTACAATAGAATATTATGACCTTTCTTGCAGAATTTTAATGCAAATTCAAGATAATGGATGTCAATAGACTGACAGTACTTTTTCCAGTTATGATGTCCTTCAGGGAGAAAAGTTTCATGTCTTTTGACTTCATCCTACTGTTCCTTCCCAATCTAGGACCCATACTTAATTATTGCCCTACAGAGTAACAGCCGTGGTCCTACAGATGTGGCTACAGATGCAGCCCCTGTCTTTCAAAAGGAAAGAAACCTGCTCAGGAATCATTCCAAGTTCTCAACCACGGGTGAGCCTTCTGTAACCCAAGTCCTCTGAGCCTCCGGAACTGCTGATTTCCGCTTACCCTGTGTCCCTTCCACCTCACACCAGCATCCAGGAATTCACAAAACTCCTCCCTGTGATCGCCTATCAAGCTGAAACTTGATTCAATGCAACTAAAACACCTGTTGGTGGTTTGCGGTACTTTCCTCACTAACTTTGACTTCCCCTAATATTTTATGGCCTTCTTAAAGTTTAGAAATGCTTATGACTATCTTTTTCTTTTTTTCTTTTTGGTAATTTTTCAGTATACTCAGAAATAGAAAAGCAGCAAACTACATTTATGGCTAACCCAGCATTACTTTAGATACCAAAATAAAACAAGGCAAAGGAGTCTGTTTTAGGAATATTCCAGTAAAATAATAAGTATTACAATCTCATCTAAATTAATATACTGTGTTAAGAGCCTGCTCCAAATGTTCATTCCACTAGTCCTTCCTTTGGTAAATGGAATCTTTCCATGGTTTAAATGACCAAATTTACACCAGTGAACACAAATGGCTCAGGTAAGCAGGATAAATTTTCTAGGACTAATAACTGTTGGACTGTTAACTTGCTCTTGTTTCCCCACCATTCCACAGGCTGGGCAGGGCATGGGGAGGAGAAGGAGCAGAAAAGAGGGGCCGGGGAGAGGCGGACTGAAATGCAGGCTGGCATCCGGTAGCATTTCAGTCTGCATCTGAGTAAGCCATTAGACAAAGGTTTACATTTAGCTTGGAGTCCATGCGAACATCTGAGGCCTCCCTCAACAAGGACATTCTTAAGTATTTATTGAAGGGTGTATGAAATCAAACAGTGCAAATAATTTTGACTCTGGACTCTCAAATATAATGAAGTTCTCATCTAATTTTTCAGAACTGACCTGGATATGTAAGTTTAACTCAGTAAAGAAGGAAACATAACCTGGATCAAGACAAACCTATGAATATGGCAATATGACTGGCTAATCAGTCATGTCTTCATCCAACTCCCCAAATTTCAAGACTTAACCTGAATCTAGAACCCAAGTGGATCATTCACCTAACTCAACTGTGCACTTAAGAGCATTCAAGATTCTGAACCTTTCCTGGTAACAGTTAAACTCAAAATAGGTCAATTCCAGAAAGGCATTCATTTCAAGAGGACTTTTGTCTGCGGTTATTTTGAAAACCACTGCTTTTAAAACTATCATTCTGAAGCTTAAAAATAGGCTCCCTACTAAGGATCCTGGACTATAATATTCTTTCCTCCCCCCATTTCCTTATTTCCCTTTTCTCTCAAACACCTGGGAGAGTGGTAATAGAGAGGTATGTTCTCCACAGCTTCAGATTATTACTTGAAAAGATGTTTTTAGCTTTGGCTGGTGTGGCTCAGTGGGTTGAGTGCCAGTCTAAGAAATGAAAGGTTGCCAGTTTGATTCCCAGTCAGGGCACATGCTTGGGCTGTGGGCCAGGTCCCCAGTTGGGGGTTGCAAGAGGCAAACAACTAATGTATCTCTCATGCATCCATGTTTTTCTTTCTCCCTTCCTTCTCTTCTCTCTAAAAATAAATAAAATCTTTAATTTTTTTAAATAAAGAAGTTTTTAAAAAATTATTTTTAGAATAATTGGATAAGGTTACCAAAATTCAGCATTGGGTAAACTGGGAAAATTTTCAAACCAAGTAAATGTCCCAAAGGAAAAAATGTAATACATACACCGTAAGAAAGTAAGTGGGGATGAAAGCTCAACCCCGTCTCTTCCCTCTTCAGCCGTGTGAACTGCCAGCAAGCTCCTCCCCCTCGCTGGGACCGGTCTCCCGCACTCGACTAGACCTAGGAGGTCCCCTAACAGGCTCTACTTCTCTAAAGCCGGCAGCTGCTTCCTATGTTCACGGCTCCTTGGAAAAAGCAGAAAAGTCCTTGGCCCAGAAGGTCCTTGGGAAGCTTCATTATACTTGATAGTGTTCCCTTGGAACACAAGAACTGCTATTGAGAGCAATTAAAGGTGAGACAGCTATAAAATATAAAAGGTGCTGAGAGGAAAAATTGTGTTTTGCAGACGACACTAGTAAATCTAGAAATGCAAATATAGTCAATCAAAAATTACTAGATATAATATGTAAATTTAACAAAGCTGCAGGAAATAATTCATACAAATCAAACCATAGCAACGATGGAAAGACAAATTTTATCTTCACCCAAGGAAATTTTTTTCCCATTGCAAGGGAAAGAGAGAAACGCCAATTTGAGAAACATCAAATGGTTGCCTTCTCATACATGCCCTGACTGCAAACTGCGTATGTGCCCTGACCGGGAATCGAACCAGTGACCTTTCAGTCCATGAGACAAACAAGTCACACAGGCAAGGGCAGAAAAACAAATTTTAAAAGGTTCAATCACAACAGCAGCAAAATATTAAGTATCTGAAATATTAACTCAGAACACAAGAGAATTATTCAGAAGAAACTATAACATTATCACAGGAAGCATTAATAAATGGAAAAGTATACCATGAAAGTTTTTAAAGTTTTAACCTAATCTTATCAAAATTTAAAAACAATAATGCTACCAAAACTGCATAAAAGTTAAAATTTTAGAAACAGAACAAGATGTCATAAAGACCAAATAAAGATAAACTTGAAACTGTAACAGATGGATAAATAAATCATGTTTAATAAACTCCGGTAAGATACTAGAACTCATTGTGGAGAAAAATTAACTTAGACCCATACCTCATGCCAAGTACATTAATTCCTTAACTGCACATGGGACAAACAGTTAACCATTTAAGGGAGAGAAAAGGCTGGAAGAAAATGAAGCCACATACTCCTGCTAGTTATGAAGAAATGATAAATGTCTAAATACTAAAGAAAGGTAAGCTATCCCATAAAAAAGACATGCTTTTGAAGACTAAAATAATTTTTTTGTTAAGTAATACAACATAAAAGGATAATATCACAATGGGGCAATGTAGTAACCACATACTATATAAAACTTCAAAACACAAAGCACATTGACCTATTGCCTCAATAAGCTAGAAGACAAGTAATTATACAGTACGTGGATTAACAAAAGATATAACCCAAGGAGAAAAACAAAATACAAAGCATATAAAAACTATTGAGATATTTTTTAAAATAGCAGGTAAGAAAGGTTTACTTGTAACTTTTCAGACTGTCCAACCAGCACCACAAAACTGTCCCACCTACCTCTCCAGCTTCATCTCCTGCGACCTGCACCGATGCTCCAGGCACACCAGACTCCTGGCTGGCTCCTCCAAGCATCCCAAGCTTTCCCACTTGTATAAAGTGGCTCATTTTCACTCTCTTCCTGCCTCCTCCCTCCCCAAACATTCCCATGGAAATCCTAGCCATCCTTCCAGACCTAGCTTAAATGTCATCTCCCCCATGAAGGCTCTCCTAATCCCTTCCACTGCATGTGCGTCTTCCTCCTCTCAGTGAGCTCCGACAGTACTTTCTTTGTACCTCTTCTTTTAGGGCACTTTTCTTACTCTACAGCCACTTGTTTCCTTCTTGTGCCCTTGCAACCTCTTTCTCCTATGTGAGATTTTCAGATCCTTGGAGGCAAAAACAGCCTTACTCACCTATCTGCAGCTTCCAGCACAGTGAATTACATTCAGTGAGCAGTCGCTACATATGAAACTGAACCGGCAAAATACAGAAAAATAATCCCATTTCAAAAATACAGCCTGGCTAACTATTTAAGTAAAGCAGACTGATCTTTAAAGGAGCCCTTGTACTGCCTATTAAACTACCAAAAAACGCTAAACAGAAAAAAGAAAAAAACCCTTCCTGAATCTTGAGGAAACAGTTGAAATATACATTGCAAATTAGTTGTATATATTTTTGGAACATATTCTGTTAATGTGTAACAAAAGTGGTAACGGTTCACTGCCTCTGATTCTGTGTGTGAAGTAATCTAAAAGCAGAACAAAATAAATTGATCCAAAACATTTACAAGAGTTATCAATAAATAATAAAAGTCTGGAAGCCACCTAAATAATTAACAAAGTGTCAATTGTGAAACCAGACCCTATCAAAATCTACTCTTCACCCCAAAATAAATAACAAGGGTTTATGAGGGTTATGTGCCTGTGTAAAAACTGGCAAAGGGGCCTCCCGGTGCTTACCACGGGCTGTGGTCTTACACCACCTGTACAGAAAGAGGAGGAAGAATGGACCCACCCCATATACACCTTGGCCCAGGCCCTCTGCCTGGTCTGTGTTGTGAATGGGAGAACATGGAAAAAAACAAAACATGGGATTATATTTCTGTATCGTGAATGGGGGGACATGGAAAAGGGGGAGGTGGGGGAGTGGAAGACTCATCAATTGATCACAACTCTCAAATATGTACATACGGAAAAACCGAAAGTTAAACTAGAAATCTTAATGTCTGTAGGTTCTTTCTTTAAAAGGTATTTGTATATTAAAATTTCTTGAAACTTGTGCTTAAGCAGGCAAATACTCAAAGAATCGGTGAAGGGAAAAGAGGTCACTCTATCCTTGTCCACTTTTTCTTCAACTCCCATGAAACCTATTCTTAATCTGACTCCCTTGCTGACATCAAAGTAGAATGCCCCTGGGATCTACCCCACAGAAATTAGAGGCAGGATCAGCATTTTTAGCAGTCCCTGCACGGGATTCAGAGAACACCTGCTACTTTAAAACAAAACACCATTCACTGGGGGAGGTGTTAATTTTGCAAACAGGTTTATGAGCCTCCAAACGGTTCTGGGTTTCCAGCAACAGAACCAGGACACAGGACATAAAGTAAAACCACAATCAAGTATCAGTAAGAGACCAGGATGATTTTTCAAAATTGGCAGCTTCTGGAAGGAAAACAACAGGAACAAAACCCAAGGCTTTCTTCTTAGGCTCACCTCATCTTCCCAGCCTGCAGGGTCTCCAGATCGGTTTTCTCAGCATGTCAGAAAGATTCACCATCACTTGACCTATGCTTCCTGTGGATGGGCTGGAAATAACTACCAATTCATAGAGACAAAAGCTAGCAAGAAGTTGTTTGTTTAGGCATTATTTTGGCTTTGTCCACTCAACCCAAAATTATTCACTTGGTATCAATAGTTTTAAAAGACCCAAGTTCAAAACAGTATGGTTCCTAGTAATCAAGAAAGCATTTATGATTAAAAATGATATTGCATTGTTTATTATAGTGTTAGGCCAGATATTCAAAATGACAGAAATATGGGTTAATTAAGAAGGGCATAACACTTAGGATAAATTTTGTTCTTTGGGTACTTTTAAAAAATGTATTATGAATTTTTCCAAACACACAGGAAGATGGAAAGACTGAAACAGTGAAACTCATAAACTAACCAATTAAAATAAACGATTGTGAACATATGCCCCATTGGTTTTATCCACTGTAAGTGCATTTTTTGCTAAACCATTTCAAACCAAGTTTCATGCATCACTTATTACAATACTCTCCTACACAGTCATAATACTAATATGTCTTAAAAATAACAATAACTCTCTATTCAAATTGCCCTAATTGATGCAAGAATGCATTTTACAGCTATTTCGATTTTCGACCCAGGACCCTGTTGAGGTTCAATCCATTTGGTTGGCATGTATGTTCCTTAGCCTCTTCTTCCAGAACAGCACCTCTGCCTATTCCCCACCCAGCCTTTTTCCCCATGCCACTGACTATTTAAAGAGACTATGAATGTTCCACATCCTGGATTGGTCTGATTGTGTCCTCCTAGTGTCATTTAACTTGTTTCTCTGTCCTCGACTTGCTGTAAACAGGAAGTCAGATCTCAAAGCTTGATTAGGTGCAGGACTGGGTTAGATTTTAAAGGATGGACAGCATATAAAATGTCCAAATCAACATGATTTATCAACATTTGTAAATGTGGTAAAGAACGAAGGGCAAAAGTCAGCTTTCTGAAAAGGAAGAAATCACAGCTGGCATCCTGAACAACACGTGCCATTCAGACGGCACCCCAGCAACCATGGCAGTGCTTTCCTACACATGGTTTCAGAGGATGCTCGCCTGCCCACCTCCCAAGTTTGTCGTATTGGGCTGGCCAAAAAGCCATTTAGTTCTTTCCGTAGAATAAAAGACACATTTTTTCATTTTCACCAATAACTTTAATGACTTGGATATGTTGAGTATGTCGGCTATCTCCTGCGTGGTATATCGTTGATTGTTCTCATTTAATGTCTTGATTTGATCACTAGCAACTTCTACTGGTCTACCCAACTGTGGAGTATCATCCAGCAAGATATCACCATGCCCTAGCTGGGGTGGCTCAGTGGATTGAGCACCGGACTGTGAAGCAGGGGGTCGCTGGTTTGATTCCCAGTCGGGGCACATGCCTGGGTTGCAGGCCAGGTCCCCAGTAGGGAGCGCATGAGAGGCAACCACACAGTGATGTTTCTGTCCCTCTCTTTCTCCCTCCCTTCCCCTCTCTCTATAGAAATAAATAAATATAATCTAAAAAAAAAAGAGATATCTCCAGCATGAAACTTTGCAAACCACTTTTGACACATTCGATCAGTCACAGCATCTTCTCCATACACTGCACAAATCTTTTTGTGTGTGTCAGTTATATTTTTACCTTTCTTGAAATAATAAAGCACAGTATGCCAAAAATGTTGCATATTTTCTTCCATCTCTGATATTAAAATGGCTACATACAAATTCACCAATTTTGATGTCTTTTTTAAATGTACGCTGACATGACAGCTGTCACAATACAATCTAACAAAACTGTTTCAAATGAAGTTAAAGACAGCTAAGCACTACTAGAGCCACTTACCAAATTCAAGTGATCTTTTTGGTCAACCCAATATAATCATTCTTACTTTACTAATGAGGAAAACCGAGGTTAAGATGAGATTTATGCTATGTGTTGAAAGATGGGTCACATTCATTTGTTCCAGACACTGTGCTAGATGCTGAGGAAGTACCAGTACACAAGACAGTCGTGGTCCTTGCTCTCACAGAAGCTACAGTGTGGTGGCAAGTACAAAATAGAAATAAAATCACACAGGAAAGCAGAGGAGGTCATTCCAGACAAAGGAAATCATGTGAGCAAGAGTAGGCAGAGGTAAGAAGCAGCATGCAGAGACCAGGAGGAACACAAAGGGATTCTCAGTGTGGACCAATGCAGGTGAATTGGGAGAGAGAAAAATCAAACTAGATGAGTGTAGCTGCTCTGCTACTGAAGTGTTTTCTCCCTTTCTTTCAAAGTGTGTAAATTAGTGAAAGTAGAATTTTGTGAGTGTTAATGTTCAAACAAGAGCTCCGTGAACATCTGTCATGGGCTAAGTCATCTTCATGAACCTTTTGCCATTCCTTTATCTGCTGCAAGGAAAGACATTCTTCCCAAAGACATGGATTTCAGCTGGACTTACTTTTCACCAGCAACTGTTCTCAAAAGACAATACCACCGTTAGTTATTGCAACAAACCGGTAGAAGCATCCAAGTTCAAAACTACAAAATCAATTACAACCACTTCAAAAGCTCCTAGTTATCATGAAAAGACCATTCGAGAACCCTCCCTGCCCCCAAAAGAGAACATCAACCTATCACAACCTTTGTATTCCCTTCCTTAAAGGCCTCACATGCTAACAGACGTGTGTCCCTTATAAGCCTGGCAGAATTGCTCATGCTACAAACTATGCTCTGAATACAAAGATTCAGTAAGTTTGAGTGTTTCAGGGTTACCCTGAAACAGTTCAAAATCCAAAGTCTAGAGATGCCACCAAAGCCAAGTAATGTACCCTCCCATTTATTCAGCACCTTACAGTTGTCAAAGTGCTTAAAGTATTTTAATCTTCACAATACTCCTTTAAGGTAGGAATATTTCATCAACAGATCCCTACGGAGTACATTTTCAGATACCGTTCTACGCACGCACGGAGCAAGAAACAAAGCCAAGCCTCCACCCTCATGAAGCTTCCATTTTAGTTGGGGAGGGGCAGATAAATACTCGTACACAATGCAGTGCTGGTTAGTGGCAAGGGCTATGAAGAAACAAACTGCAAAGGAAAAGGAGTAGAGAATGATGGGAAGTGTTATATTAGATAGCGATCAGGCTGTCTTCTGTGTGGAGACACTTTAAGCAAGAGGTCTGAAGGAAGTGAGGAAGCCAGTCGTGTGGGTATCTGGAAGGGCATTCCGGGCAGAGGGAAGGGCAAGTGCGAAGGCCCTGAGATAGGCACGTGCCCACCCAACTGCGGTACAGCACAGAGAACAGTGCGGCCAGACAGAGTGCGTGGAAGAAAACAAAGGACCTGATTAGGTAGGGCCTTATGAGCCATTAAGGTAAAGATTTTGTAAATTATTATCTCCACTTTACAGACCAGGAAACTAAAAGTCAGAAAATACAAAGGACTTGCCTAAGGTCGAACATTCCACAGGGAACTCTCACAAGGATCCAAAAGGAGCAGTGGCAGTCAGGGCTGCGCTGTCTGAGGCAGCAAGGAGCTGGAAACGTAAGCGGTCTAATCCCAGAGGAGTGAGTAAAATGTGGCACGGGCACATGACTGGCTGCTCTGCCGCCAGGAGAAGTAATGAGCTGGATACAAATAAAGCATTATGAATGAAGAGCTCAGAAACATGCTATGTGGCTTTTAAAATTAAAAGGTAAGACACTCAAATAAAAGTATGGGGTGATCACTGCTTCTGTTCAAATATCCTAGTTCCAAGAAGACCCCCACCTATAAAGATCAGTGTGGCCATGTGATATGCTTTGGCCAATGAAATGGTTGCGAAAGTGACAAGTGCCACTTGTGGGCAGAAACTTCTAAGAGCCAAAATGTGTTTCTCAAGATTCCCTTCTCACATAAGCATATTTCTGAAGGGTACTGCCATCAGTCTGGTCCCTGATGGATTCCAATCAACAAAGTTTCCCACTGACTGGCAAGTGTGTTAAATTAGTAAGATTTTGTGGTTGTTACCTCCACATAACCTAGTTTATCCTGACTAATGCAGATTTATAGTACAATAGCATTTTTTATTTAAAAAATGAATATATTTAAGATATACAAGGCGGTGATTTGATAAATGCATATACAGTGAAATGATTACTATAGTCAAGCTAATTAGCCATATCCATCTCCTCACATAATCAATTTTGTGTGTGTGGTGAGAGACCTAATATCTACTCTCAGTGAATCCCCAGGACTCGACACAGCAGACTGACCACGCCCTTGTGCTTTACTTCAGGTCTTTGATGTACTCACTCTGCACAAGTGCGTTCTGTACAGA